TGAAAAAATAAAATAAAAATACACCGACATCTTTGCCAGCTATAATTTAAGAAGCATGACACATTACTGATCATTCCTAGACTTCCACGTTATCATATTCAAACGAAGTGGCCGAGTATGAATGAAAACTTGAGCTTCTTGTCGTAAATTGCCCCAAAACAGAGTTTCAAGAAAAAAAGTAAAGTAAAGTAAATCTTTCCCTAAAGTGATGCGTGTAGAATGAGATTAGAATAGTTGTCTTCTTTTCCCACGATATCGCATTTCAAAACAGCTTCGCTGAAGTTAATGTTCATGAACAAACATAAATAAAAGGACGCTAAATTCACATTTTGGAAAGTTTTATTGGAATTTCGATACGTTTATCTTAACAAGCCATTCGGTTTCACTTACCGCCTCGTGAAGTAGTCCACTGAAATATTTAATCAACTGTCAAGCATATGCAAACTTCACGTCTCAAATCTGCGATTTGGAACGTTTAACGGTATTTTTCTCAGCAGCTACCACAAGAGCCTTGGATACCTGAAAATTCTACAGGGCCTTCGCGATGAAGTAGATATAAAAGAAGCAAAAAGTTTCGGTCATTCTCGTCTCAGAGCCCGACGTTTCTTGGTCACGTGGTCGGGAAACAAGGGGTCGGTTACAAATTAAGCCGAGTGGCTCTGGGGACGAGAATGAGTTTTGGTTCGATCAAAGAGCATGCGCTGTGAGGCCCAAATAGCCAGATTTTGGCTACTCCGGCGCAGAGTTTCCCAGAGCTTACGCGCGCATTCCCCAACCCGTGAGCACTGGGGTCGAGAATGGAGACGAAGTCTGAACGCTAGATCCAATTCGTCCTGATAGAAATTCTCAGAGTGACGGCAAAGTTTCGAAGAGCCGCTGCATTAACTTATTCTGATTCCATCAGCAGCAACTTGAATAGATTTGTGCTGATTTTATGTAACTCGACACGCGTCGTTGCACCTTCAAGGAAGATTCCTTCAATGGACGACCGCATTTGAACTTAAATAATAGTATCTTCACTTTATATTTCTTGTTTTAGGAAAACAAAAGAAAAACAGTGCGAGAAATACGACTAGGAATACGTGCGTCGCGGCCATACTTATTTGACACATAGTCATTCACAGTTGCGTTATTTTTGTTATTTTTTAATTAGTAGGCGGGATGGCGAAAAGGGCTTGCTTGCAGGGGTTCCCCTCATCCCTCCTCCCTCGCGCGCGGTCTCGCGCCCTAATTCCCTTCCCCTTCCCTTTCGAACGCCTGCCACGCAGGCTACTGGCGACAGGGTCGACCCTTCTATTAGAATTTCGTGGACCAAAAATATCTTGTTGCTGTGCCAACAATGTCAGTTGATGACATAATACTTTTTGAATTTGTACGGTTTTTTTTTTTGCACTATTTGCATTATACAAGTGTGGGCTGATATTCTAAAAACTGTAAAAACAGAAAACCGTTTTTTTTTTTATTAAAGCTATTCATGGAATAATCCAGAATGTATTCCTCTTCCAGAAAAAGGACAAACGACGTACCCAGCTTGTATACACACTGAGCCGTTGGCATTCGTCATTCGGCCATAATCCGCAAATCGAAGCTTTCCTCTAATCAAGTAACTCCTGAGATAATACAATTGTCACCTAGTGTGTCACACGCCTGCCAACTCTTTCGCATTATACATGAGTCTAACGCCTGCGGACTAAAAACATTGATTTCGTGCAGCAAGAGAAATTTGTCCACGCCTGACTCACAAATCCAGACAAGTTGATCTTTAACTCACGATTAATAACAAAAATTCAATTCAATTTCCCTATAAATATTCGAAAAAGACGCTTAAAGCTGACTTTATGTTGTAGCTATATCACAGCACGTTAAAGATGCTGCCTTTTGATTTTTGCTCTGGAAATACTCAAAGGTACGCGGAAAATCTTCGGACATTTTCGGCAACGTTTGGAAGTCTTCGTAAAATCATCAGAAATCTTCAAAAGCCGCTGGGACGTTTTCGGAAAAATCTGATGCATTTGACTTAGAGAAAGGTGGCAGGCTTATTGTGCCCCAGAATTAAATATTATTCAAAGAAAAGCTAAAACACAATCACTTTGCTTGGAATCAAACTCAGAACCTTCCAGATCCTAATGGACCGGAGGTAATTGTTACCATGAAACCCTCTTTACTGAAGAGTTCAAAGTATTGTATTTAAATAAAATGATGTCACATTCCGTAACTCAAAAAATGATAGACAAAACTACGGTGGCCCGTAAGGGACATTACAATATATTTTTTCCATGGCGCGATAATTTCAACTTATCGCGCGATAAGTTTAAATTATCGCGCGATAACTTTGAATTATCGCGCGATAATTAGTCATTTTATCGCGCGATAAATGAGAAAATTTAAAAATTATCGCGCGATAATTAGTCAGTTTGAGAAAATGCAAGGGGTGACAGGCCGCACATCTATACCGGCGTGAAACCTTGTGAAAACCTTTTATATTTTAGCTCTAACGAGCATGTCCTTTAGGGATTTTCCTTTCTTCTTGGTACTTTAAAAATTTGGCGAAGTAACGGTTGGTTTTGTGTAAGATTCCATTTTTTCAGTAAAACTTCTTTTAAAGTAGACACTGAGGGCTGGTACTGTGTCACGAAAGGCAATATTTTTTTTCCCTCTTTGTTGTTGTGTTTCAGGAGTGCAGACTCCCTCTCTGTCAACTTTATATCTGATAGAAGGTTTTTTTTTATCATAGTTTGTGGGTAGCCTCTGTCAATCAAGCGTTTTTTGAAATTTGAAATATTTTCCTCAAAAGTAGTTTTTGAGGAGTTTGTTCGTAGGATTCTCAAGGTCTCTCCTTTGACAAATCGTTTTTTAACACTCGGCGGGTGACAAGAGGTGAAATGTGTGTACTGGAAGGTTTCCGTTCTTTTAAAATGTGTCTTTACTTCAGGGATAGATTTTTCCTTGAATCTTGTGCCTTTGTATACAAAAAACACAGTCTCAGTGTCAGATATTTCGGCCGTGAATTTGATAGTTGGGTGATGTAAGTTTGCTTGTTCGATGTACGCTTCGCGTTTCGATGTCTGGTTTACTTATGTCCCACAGGGAAAAGATATCGTCAATGTAGCGTTTCCAAACTGTAGGTTTAAAAACGGTTCTGCTTAGAATTGTGGATTAGGTGTTTGAGATTAGGTGTTTGAGATAGCCACTTTCTTGTAATGTCATCAATATGATTTTCATGGTGAAGATCCGTAATTAGGCACAAGACCTTGCTGTGCGTTTCTTTCACCATGGGTTGAGAGAGAGGTCTGTAGTTATGTTTGTCGCCGATTTGTATTTGACCCTCTCTTATTTTGTCAGTTTTGTTCATGACTACTGCGATAAACTGACTAATTATCGCGCGATAATTTTTAAATTTTCTCATTTATCGCGCGATAACTTAAGAAAAAAAAAAGATTGCAATGTCCCTTACGGGCCACCGTACAAAACGCTTTTCACAATTGAAAATGTTTTTTCTTTGCAATTTCTTTCTTAATAATGATGTGATATGGCATTGTTCACCTTATTCCATGACAAACCACCAAACAAGGGCTATTTTGCACATTTGTGACCGGTCAACAGGATGAAATGCTATTTTAATAAGCTACCATGGCCCGAGTAAGTACAGTAATAGTATTTGCCATTAATAAAAGATGTTTAAATGCACTAACACCACATGTTCTAGATTTCTTTTATTTTTGTACTCTAAAATTCACCCATATTGATCACATGATTTTAATTTTTGTATTGCTTTCTATGCTTATTATTTATAGATGATAAGAAGAACTGTCAAGACTTTTTTAACAAATTAAAACATGGAGTATTATTCCAGTTCAAAATTGAGAGCTTACTTGAAAAAAGAAGATGGATTAAAAGTTTTGGATCTGAAAGGAAAAAGACTCTCCAGGGTACCTGTTGCGGTCACCGAACTGAGTGAAATAGAGAAACTTGTGCTGGAGGAAAATAACCTGAACAACTTGAACAACGTAAACAACCTGAACAATCTTATTGTGCTCAAATTGAATGGTAACAAACTAACATATCTACCAGCTGAGATCGGTGACCTCAGGGAGCTGAGGCAGTTGTGGGTGAGTAACAACCAGTTGGTTGGTTTACCTACCAGTATACAGAGGCTGACGAGGCTTGAAAGACTGAACTTGAGTGCAAATAATCTAACTGAATTACCTGCTGAGATTGGTAAACTAAGGGAGCTGAGGGAGCTGTATGTGAATTTCAACCAGCTAACTCAATTACCTTCCGAGATTGGTAACCTGAGGAAGTTGAGGGAGCTGTGGGTGAGGAACAACCAGTTGGTTGGATTACCTACCGGTATACAGAGGCTGACCAAGCTTGAAAAGCTGCACTTGGATGACAATAATCTAACTCAATTACCTTCTGAGATTGGTAACCTGAGGGAGTTGAGGGAGCTGTGGGTGAGGAACAACCAGCTGGTTGGATTACCTACCAGTATACAGACGCTGACCAAGCTTGAAGAGCTGCACTTGTATAAGAATAATCTAACTGAGCTTCCTGCTGAGATTGGTAACCTGAGGGAGCTGAGGGTGATGAAGGTGAGGAACAACCAGTTGGTTGGATTACCTATCAGTATACAGAGGCTGAGCAAGCTTGAAAGGCTGAACTTGGATGAAAATGATCTAAGTGAATTACCCTCTGAGATTTGTAACCTGAGGGAGCTGAGGGGGCTGTGGGTGAGGAAAAACCAGTTGGTTGGTTTACCTACCAGTATACAGAGGCTGTCAAAGCTGGAAACGCTGGGCTTGGATGGAAATAAACTAACTGAACTACCTGCTGAGATTAGTAACTTCAGGGAGCTGAAGCAGCTGTGGGTGAGGAACATTCAGTTGGTTGGTTTACCTACCAGTATACAGAAGCTGTCCAAGCTTGAAGAGCTGGACTTGAATGGAAATAAACTGACAAACCTCCCTGCTGAGATTGGTGACCTGAGGGAGCTGAGAAAGATGTGGGTGAATGACAACCAATTGGTTGGTTTACCTTCCACTATACAGAGGCTGACCAAGCTGAAAGAGTTGTCCTTGGTTGCAAATAAACTAAAAGAACTGCCTGCTGAGGTTTGTGACCTGAGGGAGCTGACGCATCTGTATGTGGGAGGCAATCCTTTAAATGTTGATGCAATAAGATGTGCCCTGAAGTTGAAGAAGAAAGGAGTGTATGTAGCAATTGATATTGCAGGTGAGCTGAGTTATACAGTAGCATTCAGATTTTTCGAATCTCTCAAAGAAAAGAAAGTTGGTTCCACATATTAACATGTTCAAAAAAGCCAGGGTAAAACTCAACTATTTGCCAAGGGAAAGGAAGTCAGTTTTGTTTTCGATCACTTATCGGGAGTTTGGAGATGTATGGGTTTGAGAATTCAGAATATGTTACAACCGTATAAGTTTCAGCCTTAATGATAAGTTCTCATCTACATATGTTATAATTTGCTTGTTGTTAAATTTTAGATAATCTGTGAAAAATAACTTTTTTAACTGCAATTATAGGAAAAATCATTGAAACGTAAAAAAGTGAAAGTTAAATGACAGGATTTTGGGTAATTTCTAAGGTTAATGAACGCCCGACATTGTACCCCATCTTAAACAACATATTACATCAACAAGATCAACCTCAGTTTCACCTTTATAAAATAATAAAAGGGAGTACCAATCAAATATAATTTTTACAACAACTGAATTATGTCTCGCATGCTGATTGGCTAATTTTTATTATCAATAAGAGGACAGGACACGTACAATTTTAATTTATGCAAGACGCGGTCATTTGCCGAGGGAATGCCGAACTTCTTTGTTTTTGCTTAGTTTAGTTTCGTAGAAGATTCACTTTCTGTCCTCTGAGAAAAATAGTCAGATAGCTCTGATCATAGTTAATTAAAGTGGAATGGTTGGGAAACCCTTTGTTATAGGTTTTTCTTAGCTTTTTTGGGCCTCACCGAGCACAACGTTCAAGAGCATTCCTATCATTTTGAAGTTATTGACCAATAGAAACATTGCATTAATTTATTCAGTCATAATTTGTGAACAGAAAAAAAAAAGGACTGTGCACGATCAGGGAGCTTCCAACATAGCCTACAGCACCATTGTTTTCAACTTTGATGTTTGCCGGGTTTCCTAAAGCTGGTTTTCATATGTCTGGAAAATCCCAGACGAAAGGCGAATTGACTGTTTCCCGACTGTCCCAGATTTTTGCCGACTAATAAAAACTCGAAACCGTAGATATCCCCGATCATATAGACGGGGACAAATCTGGAGAATCAGGAGCGTTTCTATTTTCCCGGCGCCTCCCAGATTTCGCCGATAGTCGGCGATCATTCCCGACAAATGACAACTCACATTTGTACCGTCGGGGACGTCGGCGATGGATCTCGCTCATTACCAATCCCCTAAATTGCTGGGCTCCAGTCCCTCTAACACAAATAAACGTGACGTCTCTCGAGAATCTGGGCAGACTTCTGGCGATTATCCGATATATCGGCAAAATCTGGGATGGTCGGCAAAAAGTAAAATCGTCTGGGATTTTCCCGACATAATATGAAAACCAGGCTTAACTAGTCTCTTCTACTAACTATGCTCTGATGCAAGACTTGGCGCCCTGTTTGGATTCTCTAGCAGAGGAAACTAAACAAGACACTTAGTTTCCAAAAGCGGAGACGACGTGCTTTAAATTGTACAGTTTCAAAACTGCGATTTAGATATTAAGTGTTTAATATTCCTACATAGCTTTAAAGTTAAAAAAGTAAGAAAACAATTCTGAAAGTATAGTTTATTAAAAACAAAGAGATTGTTAACGGTAGTTTTCCTTGGCAAGTACTGAGTGTTTTTCTAATCCTTTTTTCCGAAAGCTAAACAAAATTTTTGTACAAACTTTATGAAACTTTGTAAGTACCTGGTGAGTTGAATTGAAAACTTCATGCCTTTAAAACCCACCTTTCGGTTTGATTGTACACAGCTCATATGGCTGAATGGCGTTCAGGACAACAAACAAGATGAGAACTGAAGTGATCAACCGGCCGTACGTACACGATTTCTGTTCGTACTGATTGGTCAGCAGCTCCTCAAAACTACCAGGCTATAGTTTAATCTACAGACAGCTCAACTGTACATTGCTTCGACTTGTTCGGTTACTTCAACAGCTTCAAAATCTTTCCTTGAGATAATATTTAACCTTGGGCTAGTTAACCACTTTATACAGCCCTAAAATGCCTCCATTTTTCAAGACAGAAAATAGCGCTGTTCTCATTCTTGTTTGAATTGCTAAACAATTTAAATTCCTAATTTATGCAGGGCAGTGGCGTGACTTAACCTGTCAAATTTTTGACATCAGTAGCCAATCACCAAGCGAGAAAAGTTATTATTTCGGCGGAGCGCGAAGTAAAGGATTCGCAACGCTCAGGAATGTCCCAAAGTTGCTTTTTTTTAGACAAGATTGGGCACGCAAAGTCTGTAGGTTTTCGGTTTTATTCGGCCATTTGACAAAGTGAGAGCCAAATTAGTTCGAGATATCAAGAGATCACTTCGATTTCTTTGATTTATTCTTTAGCTTAGAATTATTAATTTGGCTTTCCCGGGATTTGAACCGACTCACCTGTGTGACCCGTCAGATCAGAGGAGACTCTAAGTTGAGGGATCAGCCGATTGCGCCACTGCGACCCAAGGTAGTTTGGGATATGAAAAATAGCAATGAAATTATGCACTAGTTTTGGGACAAGATTGGGCGCGCAAGTTCGTGACTTTTCGGCTTTTTTGGCTATTTCACGAAATGAGACCGCAATTACTTCGAGATATCTTGAGATCACTTCGAGTTTAGTCTTTAATTTACTCGAAGAATAAGTAGTGTTGAAAAAAATTTCACGAGTTAGCGCACCTTAAAAAAAATGCTGCAAGACGTTTTGTCTTTGTTGAGTGCTACGTAATAAAATTGCTGTCATGCGTTGGGCGACTTTCTCGAACGTTCTCTACGTTTTTGCATCATTCATGAATAATTAATTAGGGCATGTTGACATTTCAGCGCGAGTCAGCAGATTTGCGTCAGTTACTGAAATCATAAAATATGTCGAAAAGCTACTACTATTCGCCTGTTTAGTATTTCCTAGAACCTTATGTGAAACAGTATACAAGTTCCAAGCAAGTTGTTTTGACGAACTAAGTCTTTTCCCATGAGCTGCAGTGCTGTGTTTAGTCAAGTGTGATGAAGGTCGAATTTCAAGTTCTGTGCTTACAAGTTGGCGGAAGCCGTAAGATACCTGAAGTTCAAGTGCGAGTTTGTGATTATTGGCAGAGGCTGTTTAGTTTTACTTAAGTTCAAGTCAAGTTTGTGTAGGCGGATGCTGTGTTTTAAAGCTCTGTAAAGACTACGTTCCTTTGGTATTAAACTTCCTTGTGTTAATACGAAATCCGTGCGTGCTGATGGTCAGTGAATAATTATCCTCAAAACATTCAACTCGTAACATTGGTTTTAGCCAATTCCATGCTCAACGTAATTGACTCCTTACCCATGCCTTACATATCTTTTATCAGTAGATAAGATGATTATGCTGTTTTTGAAGCCTGATGTAAAAAAAGTAGAGAATTCTTTTTTCACTGTTTGTTTTGTTAGACTTGTTACTGACCGCCAGTAACCTCATATTTTACCGGCCGTCGATAAAACCCGGAACGCGGAACATTCCAAAAACAAGAACAATTTCTTCTACTCGGATATGATATCGGTTTCTTTTTCTTTCTTCATTTGTTGTTTTTATGTTATTTTATGTTACTTTGTTTATTATTAATTTTTACAAATATTATTTTATTATTTTTATTCTATTTACTTTTTTTTAATGAAAATTATTTTTATTTTTCGCATGCTACGGAATGTTCCGTGTTCCTGGTTTAATCGACGCCGTATAAATAGACTTGGGTCTAAACGTTTAGACCCAAGTCAAATTTAGAAGGATTTGTATGGAGTCATCAGAGCATACCTGGGCTAATATCTCAGATACAATTTGCCCCGAAATGCTAGTTTTTGGCAAGTATGCCTCTTGGATGTTGCTCTTTTCAGAATATCCTGACAAATCCCATAATTTCACAAACTGACACCTTACTCTTACCATGTATCATTTCTTACTATTCCTCCACATTTACAGTTAATCAGGTCCACAACCACGACGCTGAAGTGTACGCTCCATAGCGTCTTGTTGACAATAGCATTGCGCTAGTGTAAAAAAGTCATAATTTTTCTTTTGTTTTCTTCATTTTTACCGGCAATATTTGACTATCTTGAGCTTTTGTTATTGTAAAAAATGGTAGTGTTAAACAATGTTATGATGTCATTTTATCATCAACAAGAGGACAGATGATAAAAAACTGGCGTCAATTTGTTAAATTCCCACAACTATAGAATGGTGTCTTAGTATGTGTAATCAAATGGTGACGAGTGAAATTAGGGAATAATTTCACGCGCGTTTTGTCGAAATCCTAATAATACTAATAATGATACTAAAGGCTCTGGAAATTATTAGGATTTGGACAAAACGCAAGTGAAATTATTCCCTAATTTCACGAGTATACCATTTGATTACCTATTAATACCATGGGTGACGAATTACGTTAGCAATCTTGGATTTTTAATATGTCTATCCTGGATCGTATCGATTGAGAACTCCACTCTCTCAAATGTTTAGACCTTAAATTTGGCGTACAAAGTTCAGAATTTTTCAGACTTTTTCGGCAAAATACCTGTTAGAATCCTTCTTGATGTTCTCTTGTGTGTTCGGGTTTTCTAAAGCGTCTTTTTGTGCCCTGACATCTTCATTCACTTCGTCGCCATCGTGACACTAAGACGTACGGAGGGTTGCCATGGCAATTTTGTAATTTCACATGTGAAATTACAAATTAACGCTGAAATTTCGCGCCAAAATTAAGGAGTAATTCGTCACCTATGATATTGTATCTGTAACACTGGAAATTCTGGTTACAACAGAGTATTGAAACCATAGTGAAAAATAAGAAGTAAAGATGAATGATTATCATATCATTGGTGTGGGGCAAAGCCTGGTCTCAGAAAAAAATTAACCCCTCCCCCATGGCCTCTAAAGGTGAGTCGTGAGATGTAACTACACATGTCATAAGTACTGCTCTGATCGGCAATGTTGGACTGGAAACTAAACCGCTATAACGACATTAATTATCTTTATTTAGTCGTCGTTTTTTTTCCACCAGTTCCTTCAGAAATAGAAGCACTCGGAGAAAGAGCACAGCTTGCTTATCAAAGTGCTCTTAAAGATGGAGCTGTCAATGTTTACCGTGGTCGAGTGTTTCTTATTGGCCAGGATCGGGCAGGGAAAACAAGTTTAAAGAAGTCTCTCATTGGTCTACCATTTAATCTAAAAGAAAAAAGTACTGAAGGAATTGAAGTGGATCCTTCAAAATTTCAATTGGATGTAGATGCAGCTAAGAATTGGCAACCCATCCCAGATGAGAATAAACAAGGGTTTTTGGGATGTTCGAACAATGTGGCACAGATGGTGGTGAAAAGACTTTGTAATATTCCAGGTAACGATAACTGGGCTCCGGAGGAGAAAGAACCGAAGGAAAAAGCCACCAGGGACCTTCAAAATGATGATAACGAAAATAAGGAACAGTTTGGTACTGATGAAGAACGGGAGAAGGATTTTTTTGTGAACCAGGTTTGTCAGGCTTATTTGCTCAAATACCATCAGTTTTTAAAACTCACTACATATCTTCATTTTACAAAACAGGCCGACACAACCACAATCGGAAACAAAATTACTTGAGACACTTCACCCTAAAGGGACTTTCTGACGTTTTACTGACTTCAAAACGGGGAAAAAACGATTTTCCTCCCCCATCGGCCCTCCATGCAGTGTTGTGCCGCTGTTCTAGCTACCTGTAGATGGGGTGTGGATTCTTTTGTTCTCTGAAGTTACCCTATTTGAGTACAATACTTAACTTCACACTAGAAGCTAAGTAAATCTCAAGTAAGCTCTTAATGCATGTGCACTTGAAAATCTCTCTGTAGAAAACATGGCTTCACACTTGTTGACAAAGAATATTACTTGAAGTACAAGCTGTCTATTATTTTTCGGGGTGAAATCGTTTATGCATATCACAACGTGATTGCTCGTGACAAAAACTAAAACTATGAGGCCTTTGCGTTGGAAAATAGCTTTTTGTAGTTTCTTCTTTATTTTTTCATCATTTTAACACAGAGGGTTTTAACCCTAAAAGAGATGCTTAAGTGCTTCGTTTTTTTACGAGTAGTTTATAGGAGCGGCAGAAAAACAAAACAAAAAACAAAATCTTCTTCAGTATTTTACTAGAATGGCTGAACAACGCGCTTTTTGGCAAAGAAATCGCCTTAGAGCTTGGGCTCGGCCTCTCCTGCGATGCTCTCAGCTAACCGAGACATGGATGTTTATGTCTGTTCATTATAATCTCGGGACTGCTGCACGTACACGTCATGCACATCGCTTTCAGATATCTTCCATTTGTTATTGGTCAAGTGTTTTCTCAAGTGTGGTGTCGACCATACTTGGCAGCGAACTTCGACTTCTCTGAACTACGAACGTTTCCGTGGTCACCAAGTGAAGTTGAAGTAGGTACATTTCACTGACCCCTTCACACTCAAAGTAGTTTCCAGTACACCGAGATTATACCGTATTTCCTCAAATAATAGCCGTCCCTCGATTAATTGCCTCCCTTGGACGGAAATATGTGAAATAATCGCCTCCCCTCCGCTCCTTTCGCCATCTTATCTTCCTTTTATCCCCTCCCTGTCCAAGTGTAAGTGCAAGGTGATCCAGCAAATCTGATCATTGACGATTCAAGCTATGAAAATTATTCCAGGAACTAATTTGTTTTGATTGACGTCATCATGCCTACTACAGAACATCATTGGAATGTGGTGATTTCGTTATTTTCAGTGCGTGACATTTCGTGTCACGCTTAACATGCCTTGGCATCGTGCGATGTAGCGCCTCACGATTTCTTATTCTTTCCTTTATCGAAACAAGGAAAAAAGTGAATAGGACAGAAAATGAAATAGTTTTCTAGGCAACATAGCAGTCATAATTGCTGAAAATTGCTGTTTAGTAGAAATGTCCACGGGTAAACCAAGTTGAGTATAATATGAAATAATTAAATTATCTTTTAGAACTAAAAGAAAAAAAAACTAAAAATACTGCGAGTGAAGCATTGCATTTCAATTAATTTGAATCAGTTGCAGTCTATTTCTATTGTTGATATTTGACTGTTAAATAACTGTGCATGTAACGCAACACGACGCGAAGGCGATGAATAAAAACCGAAATTCGAACCAAGATAAGTGTTTGTATCAAGCTACATCGTATAAAAGTCCGTGAGAATAAAGCAGCTTATTACAAGACTTACGCATTCAATAAATACAACAAAGCCTGGCTGAATACAAATTTAGCCAAAACACCGACTTTATTTACCGTCACGAGTTCCAGGAATTGCTTGAAATATTCTGAGAAACGTATTGCTTCAATTCAAAGGATTTTTTTACCTTCACTTGCCTTAATTCACACTCTTCGCTTGCAAAAACGTGGCTTTCTGTACGAAACAGGATATCTCCCGGGCTTTAAGTTTTCTTCGTGTATTCTTTAGCTTCAAAATAGCCTCGATCTCGAGGGACAAACTTGAAATCGAGGCAAATACGGTGATATACATACATCCAAAAGTCTCAAATGAGGCTGGCTTCGGGCACAGGCAACACAGGCTAGTCACGTACGCGAGCTAAATTAGTCTGGTGACCTTGCAACAACAAAGTTGGTTACTTGTGGTTACTCGTGGCTAGTCTCCTCCTAACTTCATAGTTTCTACTGTAAAGTACATTCTTCCAAGACTCTCATAAGTATATGGGCAAATAAACTACTGCAAAGATGTAGCGATGCTATGCAGCTTTGCTTTGTGTAAGAAGTCGGAGCATTTTCTTGTCTAGTGCGAAAAACGAAGACACTCTGTGAGAGCGTAGAAAATTCGTATAAATACTTCATATAATCTGAACTAATGATGTAACAGCTATAATAATCCTATAAGCTATACATTATTTTACTACTTACGTGAAGGGGGACCAAAGCGTTAGCACAAATATGTTTGGAATGTGCAACCATTTGTGCACGTTCGGAATGTACAACCATGTCGATATTCTTGACGAGTTTTGTCGGGATATTCGGTCAAAATTGGGTTCGATAGAAAAACGTAAGGAGTAATCGGAACCAATTCAAATCAAGGATAAAAGATCACGACGAATTTCAGTGTTTTCGGCTAGGTTTTGACCCAGCAAGCACTGAGCGAACAGAGCCTCGAGTAAGAAGAAAATTCAGTGAGAGACTGAAGTTTGTTATTATTGCTCGATTCCCTTGGCCTTTGTATGTTGTTGTTTTCTACTTCCTTTTCTTGATTTCATAAACCTGTCAGCAGTACGCATCGATTTTACAAAGTACATTTCAACCTATACAAAACAACAAACACCTCAACTTTGAATAGAGGGGACAGGGGAGGGGTGTGGATTCTCTTGTTCTCTGAAGTTACCCTCTTGAGTACAAATGTCTCAACAATTTTGTCGCCGATTGCGGGTTCTAATGTATGTCAAGACCTGGAAAAATGTAGTTCATGTTGAAAAAGGTGATAAATTTTTTAAACCAAAACTTCCATCGCTGATTTGACTTAAACATTTTTTGGACCTGAAAGCCATTAAAGCTTTATAGGTCCTTTCAACTGACTATAGCTGTAACTGTATAAACTATTAACACTTAAATTTTATGGTAGTTCGAATAACGGAGATGATGCAATTGGTATCGTTAGAGAAAGTCATTAGACCGCACACGCCATTAGTTTTTTTTCCATTTAATCCTTATACCGTGGAACCTCTATTCAAGGGACACAAGATATGTTTGGTAACGGAAAAATATTCACGTAATCTTTGTACAATCCGTTACTACGGATAACACCCTCCTCGATCTGCTTAATTCTTCATATCCTACGAAAGCCGAATCATAAATCGCTTTTTATCGGTAATTAATGTATAGGTGAGCTATTAAGGGAATATTTGCCTTAGTCTCTGGTTCCACTCTAATAGGTAGAGATTTCAACATTCTCATAGAAATCGTAATGTTCTTTGTCAGTCACCTCCAAGTTAATTTCTGACTAATTTTCTCGTCTTAATGTTTTGGAAACCTTTTTGGTTAAAAAAGATTACCCCATGCCTCCAGTAATCATGCCTCAATGTTAATATTAAATTATTTCTACGAAGTGAGGTGTTGAGGCCAATCCTCAACAAGAGAACAATTTTGTTTTCCTAAGTCCGTTCCATTCCATTTTTGTAATTCATACTCCCAGCATGCTCAGTGAGCGCGTCTCAGTGTCGTCGTGTAGCGAGAAAGAAACCATGTGCCTTGTAACGCGCTAGTCGCCGGGAGTTTCTCATCGTATGGTGAGTCTTAGGAGCTCGTGTATTTCCAAATCCCGTTCCAACAGTGATTAAGTGTTTGTTTTGTAGGTTTTTACTTGCGAGGTGAAGCTTGTTAGCCAAAGATGAGACTCCAATTCCGATCCTGTTGTGTTGTTAAGAAAATATGCTGAGTGTGCAACTCTCGATTATTAAACTTGTGTTCAAGAACCCTTGTGTTGTGAAGGCGCGTTTTGTCCCCTGGACATCTTCTTAAAAACCATACGAGCATCTTGCCTGTGATTAGTGGACGTCCAAAGTCTTAACTGTGAAAATATTTGTACGTGTGAATCGAAGTGACATCAAAGGTCATGACTCAACGAGGAATCCTACTCGAGCGTTTGGAGGTGTTGGACAGATCCCGAAGGGGATATTTGTCTAATACTACGAAACTGTGTCATCAACTGGATGAAAATCTCGGAGACTTCGGCAACGTCGTCAAGATACGAACCGTACAAACTAGCCTTAATTCCGCGTGGGAGCAGTATTGTGTTTGTGTTGAGAAATACGGTGATTTACTCGATACCAGCTGTGAAAGGTATCAAAGAGTCTTGAGCGACCGTGCGGTTCAGCAGTCAAGAATACAAGAATGCAATGAGAAAATAGATCAGTTTATTGCCAGTGCCGCTGCCTTTTATAACAGTCAAGTGCTAGAAGAAGTAAAATCAATCAAGGAGTGTACCCCTCCAGAATCTGTGAAATCTAATGGTAGTCAGGTCTCAAATCAAATGTGTGTAGCTCCAGGTCCCAAAGGGCTAAAATAGAAGCAGCGAAGGCCCTAATTTGCAGCAACAAGCTGAAGAAAGAAGTAAGAAGCTAGTAGAACTGGAGGTAAAAAGAGTCGAAATGGAAATAAAACGAACGGAATTAGAATTGCAACACCGATTAGAACTCACCAAATTGCAAGCAGAAAGGGAAGTTACAGCTGCAAGAAATCAAGTAGAACTAGCCAATTTAGAGGCTTCCCTTGCAGAACAGGAAATATCTGATCCAGTCACTGGCCTGGAGGGTATCAGATGGTCTCCAAATCTTGACCTAAAGGACTCAAAGTCTCAATCCTCAAGGGTGCCACCCGAAACTCTAACATCTGTTATTATTGCCAATAATGTACCAGTGACCAAGCCATCTCATACATCAACACCAGGATTAGTAAATGCCCAGACTTCCAATACACTCACTTCTGGAAACACTTATTTCAAGGTGCCAAGTGTAAGTTTTAGAACCCCTACTGTTACGGATGAGGGTACACCTGAGACTGTTAAACCCCGTATTCAAGACAACGGCCAGTCACAACCTGCTGACCCACCCACTGAAGAAACCCCATGCCTCACGAGCACCAACCGCTGTACAGCCACACCCAGTGCTGCTGGTTCAATTGTGAATGAAAGTCTTGTCACTATCATGTCTTCAATGGAGAAAATGAGTGCCGCCTATGATCTACCACATGTTCAAGTTCAGAAGTTTGATGGATCCCCTAAAAATTACCCAGCCTTTCGTCAGAGATTTAAGCAGTTGGTTGAAACCAGGCCTCTTAGTGATGCTGTGAAAATGACCCATCTATTACAGTTCTTGAACGGTCCTGCCCTGACCGCAGCGCAGAGATATGAACCAATGCCTGGTGGCCTGGCAAAGGGACTCAAGACACTAGAGGAACGTTTTGGCCAGCCATTTCAAGTAGTGAGAGCATGTGTTGAATCACTTACGAAGGGACCTGCTATACAAGCAAATGATAAGGACAGCCTGCAGCGCTATGCTGATACTGCGCAAGTTACCTATAATACCTTAGAGTCATTGGGATACCTTAGTGAGATGAATATAGATAATCTGGAGAAAGTCATCGCGCGGCTGCCAAAGTGGATGCAATCCAAATTTGCCGAACATTTGAAGAATTTCGAGCGTAAGGGAGAGAAGATGCCAAATTTCAAGGATTTTGTAGATTTCCTCAAGGAGAGAGCGTTTGTCCTGAGCCACCCTTTCTTTACTAAGTCAGCAACTCCTAAGGGTTTTACCTATTCTTTAACAGCAATAAACCCTGAATCCTGTGCCATGTGCCATCAACACCATCCACTGTACCGTTGTGAAGTATTCAAATCCAAGTCTCCGAGGGAGAGAAATGACTTTGTAAAACAGAAGAAGATTTGCTTCAATTGTATCAACTCAAGTAAACACAACTCAGAGAAGTGCAAGTCCTTAATCACGTGCAAGGTAGAAGGTTGAGGGAAGTCACATCACACATTGTTACACTTCACTGAACCTAAAGACAGAGGGAACCAGCAAAGAGACGGTCCTAACGGTGAGGACGTTAATCAAGGCTTAAGGCCTAATCAAGCCACTATTTCTATGTGCTCCACAGTGGCCGCAGTTAGTTCGTGTGAAGTGTTGCTTCAAGTCATCCCAGTTCGAGTGATTAGTAATTCTGGCAACCAGATTACTACCTTTGGCCTACTAGACTCAGGCTCCGACATAACCATGATTGATCCGTCTCTCGTGAAACTGCTGAAAATTAAGGGCTCACCAAGTAAGCTGTCACTCACGACAGTAAACAATGCCGATACAGAAGAAGAGGGTCTGAGAGTCGACTTCCAAATTGCTTCAGTAGACAGCGAGAATGACCATCTGATTGATGTCAAATCTGCCTGGGCTGTAAAGGATCTTACAATTCCCCTAAAGCACACAAAGGTGACAAGGTCTGTTGGACAGTGGCCACATCTGCAACAAGTGTGCTTCCCGGAAGTAGAGAGAAGTAAGATTTCTATCCTGCTTGGTACAAACATCCAAGAGGTCTTCATACCGCTTGAAGTTAAAAGAGGTAAACCAAATGAGCCAATCGCAATCAAGTCCTGTATTGGTTGGAGTATACTTGGTGGCTGTCCCAGTGTACCTTCTTCCACTCCTGTGCAAGTCAATCTCATTAATGGGGAGGATGTTACCCTAAGTGACCAGCTTGAAGAATTCTGGAGAGTCGAGTCCTATGGTACGAGCAAGTGTGAAACCAAGCCCCTGTCTGTGGAGGACCAAAGAGCTATGAACTTGATATCCAATTCAATCTGTAAAAGTGATGGCTATTATGAGATGGGCCTCCTGTGGAAACGTGACAATCCTGTGCTTCCTTACAACAGAACACTAGCTGAAGCGAGACTGCTGCACTTAAAGAGACGCTTCCTTCGAGATCCAGAACTTGAAGTCAAATATAGAGCTGTGATTGAAGACTGTGTGACCAAGGGATATGCAAGAAAGCTCACGAAGGAGGAAGCAGCAACAGTCAGCAAAACCACATGGTTCCTGCCTCACCACCCAGTAAGCAATCCGAACAAGCCAGGCAAGGTGAGAGTGATGTTTGACGCGGCTGCAAGATTCAGCGGCACATCCCTAAACGAACAGCTCCTACAAGGACCTAGTCTGACAAATGACCTGTCTGGAGTGTTGATTCGTTTCCGTGAAGAAGAAATTGCCTTCTCAGCAGATATCGAGGGCATATTTTACCAGACCAGAGTAACCCCAAGTGATACAGATTCTCTGAGGTTCTTGTGGTGGCCTAAAGGTATTGACGAGCCTCCAGAAGAATACAAAATGTTGGTCCATATTTCTGGTGCTAAGTCTTCACCCTGCTGTGCCAACAAGGCGTTAAGCATGACAGCACAAGACAATGAAGAAAATTACCCACCTGAAGTGATCAGAACAGTTCGTAGAAATTTCTATGTGGACGATGTCCTGAAGTCCGTCCCAAATACTGACCAAGCCATACCTCTGGCCTCAGATCTTATGAAGTTGTTGAGAGAAGGAGGATTCCGCCTAACAAAGTTTGCGAGCAATAGTCGTGAATTACTAGCCTCAATTCCTCCCGCGTCCAGGGCGAATCCCAAGTTGGACCTAGATCTAGACCAGTTACCCTTAGAGCGAGCGTTGGGTGTCTACTGAGACGCACAGTCAGATACTTTTAAGTTCAAGGCCTTACAGGCGTACAAGCCATCCACCAAGCGAGGAGTACTTTCCGTCGTAAGCTCCCTATTTGATCCGTTGGGATTTCTTTCACCATTTGTGTTCACAGCCAAGATTCTGTTACAAGAGCTGTGGAGGCAGAAGTTGCCTTGGGATAAAGAAATTCCAGAGCCGTATTCGTCCCTCTGGCAGAAGTGGTTGCAAGAGCTGCCGTGTGTTACTACAATCGAGATACCAAGGTGTTACAAGACCCAGTGCCTTAGTACACAAGCCACTGTGCAGTTGCACAACTTTTCCGATGCGTCAAGGCATGGTTATGCAGCAGTGTCTTACCTACGGTTCGTTGATGAACAAGGAGTGATCCACTGTTCCTTCGTTATGGGGAAGACCAGGAATGCGCCCATTAAAGAGTGGACTATACCTCGCCTAGAACTGCAAGCGACAGTGTTAGCGGTACGGCTAAGTAACTCAATTCTGACGGAGCTTGACCTGCAAGTAGATGAAACCTTTTTCTGGTCTGACTAAATGACGTTCCTGCAATATATCAAGAACCAAACTAGGCGCTTCCAAACCTTTGTTGCGAATCGCGTGGCCGAGATTCATGAATCAACCTCCCTAGAACAGTGGCATCATGTCCCAGGTAGTATGAACCCCGCTGATGAGGGTTCACGAGGCGTCACCATAGAGCATTTCCAACCCGGGTGTCGGTGGTGGTCAGGTCCTTGCTTTCTGTGGCAGCCTGAACAACACTGGCCTAATGCTCAGATGGAAGACATTCGAAGTGATGATAAAGAAATACGAAAACCAGCCATAATCATGTTCACCTCTGACACGTCCCAAGTTGATCTCCTACTACAGCGCTATTCGTCGTGAGCCTGTTTGTTGAGAGTGATGTCGTGGGTGCTTCGCTTTGTCAAGCCACTAAAGACGGAAAAACCTGAATGTGTCGTCGGACGTACACTTACCCTTGTTGAGCTTCAGGAATCTAGCGAAGTAATTACCCGACTGGTGCAGCGCCAACATTTCCGTGAAGAGTACATGGCTTTGAAAGAAGGCAGACAGGTGAAATGTAGCAGTAGTTTGGCCACTCTTAGTCCGATCCTAACTGATGGCATTATACCTGTTGGAGGAAGAATTCACCGTGCGCCGATTACCTTTGAGGCCGCCCACCCAGTGATTCTTCCAAAGTCAAGCCCTGTGTCTGTATTGATAGTTCGTTACTACCACCATGTGCTGGGCCACGCAGGCCGTGAACATGTGTTGTCCGTCCTCCGCCAACGTTACTGGATACTGAGAGGAAGAGCTTTGGTGCGTCAGATCCTGAGCAAGTGTATAAGTTGCCGCAAGCGGAACATGCCTGCCCTACAGCAAGCGATGGCGGACCTGCCAAAGGAAAGGCTGGTACCTTGTCATCCCCCGTTCACCTTTACGGGCCTCGACTTCTTTGGCCCCTTCTATGTGAAGCGCGCTCGTAGCGTTATCAAAGTGTATGGTTGCATATTCGTGTGCTTTAACAGCCGGGCAGTTAACATCGAAGATGTTAGTTCCTTAGAAACAGATACGTCTATTTTGGCTCTCCGCCGGTTCATCACTGTTCGCGGCTGCCCTGAGGAAATCTGGTCAGATAACGGCACGAATTTTACTGGCACTGAGAGGGTACTTCGGCGTTCGGTTCGAAAACTAAATGAAGAACAAATCAAGAGAGAGCTACATTCGTACGATGCGGATTGGTTCAAATATGTGTTGCCAAGGTGGCGTTTCCAACCCCCTACCGCGAGCCACATGTCAGGCGTGTGGGAGAGGCTTATTAGAAGTGTGCGGAAGGCTATGAATGCTGTCTTGAGCAAACCAGGCGCTACAATCCCTTTGGAAACCCTGCGTACCGTATTCGCCGAAGTCACGTCCATTCTAAACAGTCGTCCCATTTCCCCAGCAATTGATGATCCAAGTGACATGGAGCCACTCACTCCAAACCACCTACTTCTACAGCGGCGAAATCTCGCCATACCCCCAGGTGTCTTCGCCAAGGAAGAGCTCTACTCACGCAAGCAGTGGAGACATGCGCAATTCCTTGCTAACTGTTTTTGGTCGCGATGGGTTCTAGAGTACGTGCCCACCTTACAGCAACGCCACAAGTGGCTACTAAATAAGAGGAATTTAGCGGTGAATGACCTGGTTCTTGTGGTGGACAAAACTGTGCCGAGATCCCGCTGGTTGCTGGGTCGCGTAACGAAAGTGTTTCCTCGTGAAGATTCACGTGTCCGCACCGCCGAAGTGAAGGCAAAGGACTCTTCTCTTTCTCGTCCTGTGACCAAGCTGTGTCTCCTTGAAGAAGCTGCTTGACGGGTTTGCCGTAGAGTGCACTGAACGTTGCAAGATTAAGCTGAAAACATTGTCGTGAACTAACAGTCGGTTTAGAACTTTAACATTCATTAGTGATTGTCTTCGGGGGCTCGTTCAGCCCTACCCCCCGGGATGTTGAGGCCAATCCTCAACAAGAGAACAATTTTGATTTCCTAAGTCCGTTCCATTCCATTTTTGTAATTCATACTCCCAGCATGCTCAGTGAGCGCGTCTCAGTGTCGTCGTGTAGCGAGAAAGAAACCATGTGCCTTGTAACGCGCTAGTCGCCGGGAGTTTCTCATCGTATGGTGAGTCTTAGGAGCTCGTGTATTTCCAAATCCCGTTCCAACAGTGATTAAGTGTTTGTTTTGTAGGTTTTTACTTGCGAGGTGAAGCTTGTTAGCCAAAGATGAGACTCCAATTCCGATCCTGTTGTGTTGTTAAGAAAATATGCTGAGTGTGCAACTCTCGATTATTAAACTTGTGTTCAAGAACCCTTGTGTTGTGAAGGCGCGTTTTGTCCCCTGGACATGAGGTTTACTATTTTTGTTGAAATTCGCATCGCCTGTGGGATGCGTGTGGGCTCATTGTGGAGAGGTGGAAACTCGATTTGGCTATGAGTAGGGTGTGAAGAATTGAGATCGAGGAGGACATCCTCCGATTGAGGTTCTGCGATGGACGTTTTTGTAGCTAATGAATCAACACTGGGTGTTTTTTTGTTTTTCGTATTCTCTGGTGACTTAGAATATATGTTATACATCATATTTGATCTACGGATAAAGTGATGAAGTGAATTTGATCCTGCAATATAAGTGGTTGAAAAAGACCCCTATCCACTCGATCCCTAACATTTAAGACGACAGGACTCAACACTCTATCCATTGAGCTAATTAAGCCAACTGGGGGAAAGTAGGCTATTGCGAGTTCGTAATATACACGATGGTGGGAATGTATTAAAATGACTCCCAATTATGAAATAAGTTATGTATTTGAACTGCTTTTCGTACTCTTTAACAGGTGGCTGATCCAAAAGAAGACCGTGTTAGTGAACTCGCGTCAACAGGACCTGATCATGAGTTAATGATTGATACCGCTTCACCACCAGAGGAGATCAAGGAGCGTACTATACAGTTGATAAATTATATGAAAGGTAAAGATGTTAAGGCTGAAGAATCTGTTACCAGTATTGAACTGTGGGATTTTGCTGGACAACACCTGTATTATGCATCCCATCCTGTCTTTTTATCATCACGTGCGCTGTACATCTTAGTGTGCAACCTCAGCAAGTCATTGCATGACATATCCAAGCCCTGTGTGAGACAAGGATCTCGTAATGTTGAATTGGAAAACCCAAATGGAGAGACAAATCTTGAGAACTTATTGTCTTGGCTTTCCACGGTGCATAGCGTCGCACAGATGAGAAGAGAAACCTGTGATGATGTAGAAGAAACGGTGCCTCATCATTTGCGTCCCCCAGTGATCATTGTAGGAACTCATGCAGACAGACCATTTGAAGACATTGCAACAATGAAAACAGAAATCCAGAACGCAATTGCTGGTAAGGACTATGAAGGACATGTGGTGCGGCCCATCTTCAGCATTGACAACACTGCGAAATTACTTCAAAATAAGATCAGAAGTGTTTTTAGGAAAGACGAAAACATTGATGACATCCGAGCTCTACAAGTCAAAATCATGGAAGTGCTAAGACAGGAGCCTTACTTTGGGGAGGAGATACCTGTGAGGTAAATAATGGTTTTTAAAAACAAGAACACAATTCCATTAAAATTAATAATAATTTCATCGGTAACTCAGTGACTCTGACGTGACACTAAAGCATGTCCAAAACAGGGTGTTACCAAACTTAGACTTAAGACATAAGAGCCCCTAAAATCGGATCCGTCGCCGAGAAGTATAAGTGAAATTATAACCGAAGTTAAAGTATAAACTGTCCAATTATCTTCTGTCCGATCCTTTCCACGGACGTTTTGGTCAAACTGAGCGGTAAATTTTAGGGGTCTTAGTTTTTGTAGTTTCGAAAACAAAGACCCGTCGTAGTTTTCGTTATTATGAAACTGAACTAGGACCCTCAAAAGCGAACCGTAAAATATATATGAAGTCGGATTACGACCGTTCAAACACTACATGATGCCGCAAAACTAATAAAAACTATCATCAGCTCGATCTGCGTCTAATTTGCACACATGTCAGTTTATTTTTGCGGACTGGCGATTCTTTGTGTTTTGCGGTTAGGACAGATTGGTTTTTCTCGCTGGGAATTAATTTTTGCGATTTTCAAAAAGTAACCAGTACTCACCATTGATAATATTTTCGTTTTGGTTAAGTACGTGCACTCAGGGTGTAATAGAAACACATATTTTCGAACAGTATTACATTATGCGTACCCTGTGTAAAACCAGTAATTCATTGTATTAATACCGTTTTGTTTCTGAATGAAAGAGGCAAGTTGTAATCGAACAGACACGATTTCTTAGTACTGTATCTTTGCGGAGTGAAATTACGTGAGAGAATATTTACTCTGGAGTAAATTTTTGCGGTAACTTCAGTTTTCTTTGCGGGAACTTATTTTTGCGGATCGATGGAAAAATTGCAAAAATTAGAACCCGCGAAAATTTCGTGCCACACAGTATCCTCATTATCGCTTTCGGAAACGTTACCGCGGGTAGAGGGCAGGCACGGAGGGGTACAACGTTCATGATTTTTCTGGTGGGTATGTGCTGCCGGGTGCCCAAATTTTGACCCTGTTTTATAAAGAATACCCTTTAGGCTAGTAGCTCAATTTTAAACACACTGTTCTAGATTTTAGTAACTTTCCAAAGCCCTCCTTTTTTGAAAAACAAAGTTATTTCGTTGCCTTTTCGACTTAAACTTCGACTTCGACTCAAAATACGACAATTTTGTCTTTTTCTGTTTGGAGCGCAAAGCACGAATGCAGAGTAATAATAATAGACAGTACCTCAACTGAATAACTAGTGGCCCTCAAACTAAAATTGTAAAACAAAAATATAATTAAGTAACCAAAATACACATCGTTAAAGAAAGAGAACTATAAATTTATATATATGAAATACGGTATTACTCGACTTTACCACAGCCTACGACACGCAACAGGGGTTCAACAGTTTGTTTATTTTTTATTTTGCGTTCTATGGCTGTTAGCAATTTGAAACTTTCATGAGTTCGAAATCTTGTATCCCGTTGTAGGTGAAAGGAAAAAAAATATGTAACCCCGTTTTAAATCAGGAATCTCAAACTCACTGCCCCGTATAGCTATAGCTCCCCCGTATAGCTATTTTTGGGGAATGCCCCTCCACTGGGTTCGGGGGTGGGGGGGCTTTCCACCCCGGTCAAACGTTTAAAACCATTTTCCTTTCATTAAGCGAGATTTAGTCGACTCAGTCGCTGTCAAGTTAAAATAAGACGAATGTGCTTTAACTAGTGTCGAAAACCAATTGGCTCTTTTCACTGAAAATACCTCCTAGGGCTAAGCAGACTTCTGTCGACAAATGGCGCGCACAAGTTCCCGGGTCCTATTTTCAAATGAACCTTTTAAATGTCAACGTTAGATTTTTAGCCGGTAACTCTCTCAGACTATTTCTCTGTGCCCCCACCCTACCCCGAAACTCCCTTTTAACTTTTCCCTCGGTTTCTGGTGATCTCCGGGGTGGCAACGATAAAAATAAACTCCCGGGAAAACGTAATATAGCATATACTCTTTTTTTTGCCCTTTTTGTGTGATGTCTACCGATAACCCAGTTGATGATCGAAAGCGATTTTGATAATATTCAGGTAATGCAATTAGGGTTGCAGCGACATGTCAGTCGCCAACGAAGACAAAAATCTATCCACAGCGGAATGCCGCTTTTACCAAAATTATCGATAAATCGGGATAAAGCATGTTTTCAGTGTACAATTTACACATACGTATTCTATGGCTTTCATCCTTATGTCTGCCTGAATTTATATGTCTACAAATTAGAAGAAGCGAATCGAGCCGATGATAGTTTTCAGTAGTTTTACGGAATATATAGATAGAGGATATTACACGGTGGCGCGAAGATATGAATTTTATTTTCCAGTGGCAAAACAATATTTTACGAACGAGCGCAGCGAGTGAGTAAAATATTGTTTTTGCCACGACAAAATAAAATTCATATCTTCTAGCCGCCGTGTAATGTTCTTTTTATTATATAGACAAAATGACATCGATAAAATAATAGATTTTTATTCGCCAAAAAGTAATCGTGACGTTTCAAATTTACAGTACAGCAATATAAGACACTGTTTACAATGATCTTCAGAAATAACACTGAGCTGAATAGGGCTCTACAATGACAAACTATCAGCAAAGCTTTGAAAAATGTGTAAGTAAAATTCAAAAACGCAAGACGCCTACAAATTTCGGATGGAAATTACGGAAATCACGTCATCGATAAACTCACGTGTGAGATTATGGAAAATAAACCACTCGGGTCCCGGATGTAGTTTTTATGAATTTTACGAGTGGTATATTTTCCAGTAAAACACTCGTGTCTATATAATAAATAACAATTATTCACCGAAGTGGAGGTGGCTAGTGGTGGTTATTTACCGAGGACGCGAAGTGGCGAGGTAAATATACCCAACCACTAGCCACCTCCACTTCGGTGAATAATTGTTTCAGTATTAGTATATACTAAAACAGTGAGATAATTGAGCACAAAAATGATGATTTTTAACTCATTTACTGTTGCCAACGATTACAATTTTGGCACGCAATGACCGAACGGCCGCGGTCGTCGCTTTTTCTTGCCGACAAATAAAACTTTTGAAGGCGTTTGTTTCGCTCTTGTGGGGAAATTTCTTCAAAAGGAGATGTGAATTCTTTTTGTTTTTAAAATCATTCTGTAAAAAAGATTATTAAATTTAGTTTTAAGCTTATTTATGAATAACTCAACTAAACAAGGTGACCACTTGAGACCCCACTTAACGCTAATAGGCCTCTTGCAATAGTTGCTCACGTGATCAACTTTCTGTAAACATGTAAATAGTTCGCTTTTGGACAATTCTGTTAGCAGGAACTGAAAGAGCATGTTAAAATTAAGTAACCTTTGGATTTTCAGCTGTATATCTAAAAAGTAGCGATCGCAACGTAAGCGGCCCGCGAATATTAGAAGGAATTGTGTGAGAAAAACAACTCTCGCCACCCAGTCACGCTTGAATAGTTTTGCATACAAATCCTTGTAAATTTCGATACTTATGAACTGTCGCTACGTTTTTCCCTTACGCAGTTAAGGACTCAAATCGCCTGTTTAGAATAAAAGGGAGATTTGAGCCCCATAATGCTTCAGGAAATAATTTACGACAGTTTGAAAATTTCCAAATTTACAAGGGTTTGTATTGAAAACTGGATGGCAAGAGTTGTTTTTCTCTTCTAATTTTTGGCGGTCGTTGCGATCGCTATTTTTAAGATATAAGGCTGAAAATTGACAGGTTACCTGATTTCAATACGCTTTTTCAGTTCCTACTGACCATATTTTCAAAAGCCAACTGTTTTCGTGTTACAAGAAGTTGATCATGCGATCAACTAATGCAAAAGGCCTATTAAACCAGCTGTTTTAGGTAAGCCTATATTTATCTTATTTTTACTTTAGAAAGACCACAAGCAATAACTACAGTATGTTTTCCAGTATCCGGACACTTCAGTTTAACATTGCAATAACTTCCCTTTGTTAGTCGCAAGAGCTCGGAAATTTGGCCCAGCCGGAGAAAATCTATTTAGTCCTTAATATGACGAAAGATAATTTACTTTTTTACGTTTCTTTCCACCGCGAAATTAATATTTTTTCATGAGAGCTCCTAGGTTGCCCAGTATCAGGCCAGCTGGCCCATTATCCAGCCACAACAATAACAACGTAATTGTACGTAAATTGTACGTACAGGCAAGCGACTAATAAGCTTCTCTTGCACTTGCAAAGTAGTCTGGCAATCGATTCGAAAAATATAAATCGATCTGGGAACCTAGCATCGTGAAATAAAACATAACAAATGACTGGGGTATGGTGGGGAACGCGAGCGGCTGTTAAATGGTATAGTTCTTATTTCCTTGTCTAGGAACTTTTTCACTGATTTAAGGAACGCATCCGTGGACAAGCCAAAGCAGCGGTTTGCAAGCTCAATTAGCCCATCTGCAAACCGGTCTTTTTCTTCATTTTTTGTTAAAAAAAAAAAAAAAAAAACTGGCGAAGGGACCTCAATCTGAGTCAAAGGTCACTCTCCTATTTAGTCTGACCTACAGTGTTGATTTCGTCATGCTCAGTCCCCACATTTGGCCTGATTTTTCTACTACTAATTCCTCCTTCTTTTACACCTGTCAATCCCGTTGAGACATTTTTCAGACCGTTCCAACCCCATTCTAGCAGTCACAACTGGGGAAAGTATGAGAATTCCCGGTTTAACTCCGTCGCTTCCGGTTATATATAGAAAATGCAGTCACGCGAAATAAGCCGTGCACACGAAATCAAGTCGCCTCTGAATGAGTGAAGAAAATAGAATTTCCATAAGGAGTTGAGTAGAATTACATTTTACGATTATATCATATATCCTAAGCTTTAATTATAGTTAAACATATGAAATAAATCTTATCCGGATAATGTACGCAGCTAATTCACCGATTCTGTACAGCAAAGAAAAAACTGTCCGGATACTGGGCAGCTGACATCGATACTTGGTGAAAGTTTGCGGCCTCCGTTATTCCAAACAAATCGAATTTCAAGAAGAATTAATAAAATTTCTGAGAACCTGACTTCTTTAAATATCTTCACTTTAAATATAAAAGTCTCTTTGAAAATATCACATGTTACCTACCCTTTTCTGAGCAGCACTAATTTTACTGCGCAGTAAACAGCGTGATATTAGCCATGAAAAGTTTACTCACCTGAACAGAACGGCTTCTTCTGCGACTGTTTCGCAGCTTTAAACTCGCCAAAACTTTTATCTTAAAGCTGAAATGTTCAGCTTTCATTCGAAATACTTCGTTTACCGAGAAAAGTGAAAAGAGCGCCTCAAAAACTGAGTTTTTGTTTAAGTGGCTGGATACTGGTACCGTCCGGATACTGGGCAACATACGGTAATGAAAAATCTCTAACTTTGCACATGACCGCTAAACAAATTCCAAACGTCTTGGCGACTTTTGCTGCAACTTTAGTCGCCACTTTTTTGCTATATGGCGACCAGAATGTTCACAGCTTGGAGCGATTTTCTTTAGTGATGTTTACCGCTTCGTTTTGGAACGTGTGCTCTGTATTGTAGTCGGTGCAAGTATAGTGTGCAGTGACATGGGTACTATAACGCGCGCTATTTAGTTTCTCTTTGTTTTTATAAACTAGGTGGCTGAACTTTGAAAAAGTCCTCAACGCTTTACTTTCCAAGCCCAAGCCAGTTTATTACCTGAGTATAACGAAGCTACGGACCCATGCCAAGGAGAAGTGCTTCATCCATAGTAAGAAAGAGTTTACCACCATGGTGAATTTCTATCATGACCTGGGGGTAATTATCAAGCACCGTAGCACAGCCATCTTGAGTACCCAGTGGCTGATAGACTTGTTCGGGCAGCTGATCACTATTCCAGATTTTGAAGAAATGGTAAGAAATACATTTTAAACATGTTTTTAAACTTGCAATGGTTTCTAATGGCCCACATTTCGGATGACTTTACAGGTGTCTAACCGTGCTATAGCTTATGAACATGATTATTAAGTGCGTCGCACGCTATCTCTTTGAAAATGTTAACTGTTGCAAATTATTTGTGAACAACAAAATCGTAGTGGGTTGGCCCTCTAGTGAATATTTGCCCAGTGTAAAACAGTTAGGGTGGACGTTTTCTCGTGGATATAATTCTGAAATGAAGTCTTACCCAACCAAACCTATAACAACTAATTTCAGTAGTATTAACGCCTGGTCAGCAGTCTTCCTGCAATCAACCCGCTATACTCGCTATACTATACAGTTAATCATTTTCACTGCACCTTCTTTCTTGAACGATAAAATATCCCAAGAGGATTCTTGTTTCAATTTCGAAGGACATCAGGTGACATCACGAGGTAGCCGCCAACAATAAAAGGAGCTTATAACCAATTTACCTGCAATTTACCCTTTATGTAGGCTCAAAGGAATCGGACAAACAAACGGAGTGAAAATACATATTGTATATATAAACGAAGCCTTACTATTTACCTCCCAAACTGATGACGCGCGGAGCGAATTGCGAAAAATTTGTAACAACGTCTCAACCTACACAAAAGGTTTGTAAGCGAGAGAATAAAACTTGTTTACAGGATTAGCAATACTCGTCTTGCGTTTCAAACTTCTAAAACAACAATTTATAGGCCGCAAACTTCCGAATTAAAGTCCATAGTTATATAAATTTCAATTATTGTTTCATTGGAAGAACTTTGAAAAATATATGATCTTTTATACTCTACCTTGAAGCAGGTGAAACAGAACTCATAAAATTAATTCTGAAATACGTGCGTTGTACCGTTCGCGATAGCCGAATTAGGTCAAATGTCTTGAAGCAGCACCCACACAAAATTATGGAACCGTCAACAGTTGCATCACTGTACCCAACGTTTGAATCATAAGGATATTTCAATACTATGCTTCAAAACACTTTTAGCCGTAATAAAAGGCGAAAAAACTGTGAAGAATCAAGATGGCGCTCTCTAAGTGCCCTGGTTTGACCTTAAGCAATGTCATTAACGGTTAGATGCCAAAATCGCATTGGTTCCTACGCATCAAATCATAGTACCTTCAACCTTATTGGCCCTGCAACAAACATCCGAACATACAAAGCCACGAAGCCACGAAGATACATACTCTCACACCACTGACATATGAGCTATTTTTTCAAAATAGCTCAAAAAACGAAGAAGTTTAGCTTGTACGACGCAGTATTGTCTCTTACATACGCTGACTTTCTTTTGGCTCGTTACGCAACTCTCTCCAACCAGATTACAAGTAGTCTCTTCCTTAGGGATAGTGGAGCGAGCGAATTACGCGAGCGCGCGTGAAATTTGTCACCCTCGAGGAAGGTGACAAACGCTCCTGTATTTTAATCGCTCAGATATCCCAGAGGAAAATAAGGGGCTACTCGTAGTCTATCCTCAGTAGTATATTAGGCATAGAATCAGCCTTTTTCACTGTGGAATCTTCGCTGGAATACATAAACGCTGATGACGTCATAACCTTTTGTCTTTATCTCATGAATAAAATGCTGTCAAATCTCTTTAAAGGGTTAAAAATAGCACACGACCTTATCTTAGAGCCAGTTTACATCGAGGTGGAGGACCCTAGGTAGGTGAGGTAACCCGCTGCTGGTCACCGCAACAATCATGTAAACGTGGTCAAATTAAAATGGGACATTATTTGGACAGGCGGGTTACCTCACCTACCTAGGGTCCTCCACCTCCATGTACACGGGCCCTAAGATAAGGTTGTGTGTTATTTTTAACCCTTTGGACAGGTTTTCCCGTTATTTCTTGGTAGATGAAGGTCTTGCTTTTTGATTGGTTGACGACTACATGTAAGAACTAGGAAAAGTATTCATTGGTTGATCCAGGTTGTTGAAGGAATAAGCGCTAACTCGCCTGCGACGTAGTTATGCAAGTTACATTTCATACCGCTTTCATTGTTCAATAAGTTGTTCAGGTTTACTACGCGCGCAAATCGTTAATTTTTCATGAGTACGAAGCCACACTATCCATTTCTATCACGAAAAACGTTTTTCCACTTTCCCACATCCCTTTTTCCTTTTCCACATTTCATTGTTTCACATTGTTTCCTTCCACCACGACAACCACGTTTCTATAGTTTTCTCTCGGCGCGAGGTTATGGTGAACGTTGTGAAGAAAAGAAAACTTAACTTCGTAAATCTTCTAACGTGATTGGAAAGAATTGTGTGACGAACCAAACGGAGGGCTGCTTAGAAGACTATCCTCTTTACTTTTATTCACACAGTAGTACTTGTTAGGCAGACTACGGAACTTTTTCTTTATATTCGTCCCCACACAAAAACGGGAAACTCAAGATCTTTTTCTTTGTTTGTTAATTAAAATATTAAATAAAATAACCAATAATTTCCAAGTGCATTAATTAACTGGCTCAAAATTCTCCTAAAAAATTTCACTATTTCAAGAAAGTTTTTTGTCATTGGCCTCCACCTTATTCTGTTTTAGGTTCCTAAGGTTGCCAAGCACTGGAAGGAAGTTAAAGAAAGCGGTGTTCTCTCCATGGAACTGGTTGATCTTGTGTTTTCCAACTTTCTCCTGAAGGGTGTTGCCAGGAAAGACATTCTTGATTTGATGGAACGATTTGGATTGATTGCAAAATTTTCATCTTCAAAGACAGGTGAAAAGTATTTTGTTCCATCTCAACTCAAAGCTTCGCCTGATTCCCTTTGTTCCATGGCGCCCTCTAGGCTGGACCCTTGTCCCCTGTATGTTTACTTTGTCAGCGGTTCTGTTCCCCATGGTCTGTTCACTCGGCTTGTTTCTCGATCTGTCCGTTGGTGTTCTGAAGCTGGTCCTACTCAGCCCCCTACCCTGTTCCAAAATCGAGCGTGGTTTGTTATTGGGAAGCAAACTTTCCATGATTTTGTTCTTATTTGTAAGAAACAGTTGATTAAGTTTTTTATCAAGCAAAGAAACCAAACTCAGCAGATCTCAGTAGATGACACAAGTGAGGTGGCGGTGCAGGTTCGTAAGTTTGTGGAGGCAACTTTGCAAGTTTTGTCACGTGATCTCTATAAAGGTGGATTGCAGTATCATATTCGGGTTGCCTGTCCGTATTGTCAGCGGGAAAAATGTTCAAGCCATAATCAGATTGCATGTTCTCATGAAGATTGTCTTCACCTCCTTGAGTTAAGACAAGGCGATCCTCTGATTTGCAAGAAGAAACCTGCAGAGGAGGTACTCACGGTTACGGGACAAGAAAAGTGGTTTTCACAAATAGAAAGTAAGGTAGGTAGCAGTGAAATGCAATATCTAGCAGTGCTGTTAACATATTACATATCACTCGAATACACATACTACTTAAAATTGTGTCTTTATAAAGAGTAGCCACAGTGACTGTAGCCATATATTTAAACTAAAGAGGCTTCAACAAAGTCCATGGATGTGCTTTATTAAGGTTATGGTATGAGGTTTAACGTATGCCTTTATTTATCTTACCACGAGCTCCACTGGAGTGTACGACAAGGCTTTGTTGCTATCAACTTAGCGAACATTGGTACTTAAAATCAAGAAAGTTGATAAGGTCAATTGGCTACCATGTATTAATAATTGTTATTGGCGTGTAGGCATAGCAGTTGGTATATAACTTTTTCTCAAGGTCTTTGTAAATGCATGTGATGTTTTTCTTTGCGGGTGGGCAATAAGTTTGTAGCATCTACCGTGTTGATAACATGTTTTGCAAACTTTCATTCAAAAAGCCCCTAGATATTAAATTTCTGTTTTAAAGTATCCAATTTTGGTTCCCATGCAGGAAGCGTGTTCTCCATCATCATCACCTGATACTGCACAGGTTCGTCCAGAGCGTCTGGAACTGAAAGTTACCCTTCTAGCGAATGAGTGGGGCTCGTCTAAGGGTGGCTTGTCAACAATAAACAGGACTCTTGCCATACATTTGGCAAAAGACGAAAACGTAGAAGTGACCATTCTTGTACCTGAATTTGAGTGTCGAGAAAAAGACAAGAGAGTTGCCAAAAGTCACAACATTTCCATCAGGGAAGCAGGGCATCTACCTGGCTTTAGTGATCCTCTTGACTGGTTGAGCTATCCACCAGAAGACCTTGACATTCAGGTTGTGATCGGCCATGGAGCAAAGCTTGGTAGACAAGCACAGATTATCAGAAAGTCTCATCGATGCAGGTGGGTGCAGGTTGTTCACACTGAGCCTGAAGAGCTGGCAATGCATAAGAACTATCCAAGCGCCATTGCCAAGGGAGAAGGGAAGAACAGAGCTGAAGTTGACCTTTGTCAAATTGCAGATCTCGTTGTAGCCGTTGGACCCAAGTTGAAAGAAGCGATCTCGTCCCAGTTGCGTTCATCTCGTCGAGAAGTCTTTCTATTTGTACCAGGTTCCTTTACAGAGTTTTCAGATGTTGAGCATTCTGAACAAGAGAATGTAAATTTCAAAGTGTTAACCTTCGGTCGCGGTGATTTCGAAGACTTCAGTCTTAAAGGATACGACATTGCCGCTCAATCCATAGTTGAATTGAAGGACAGCTCCTATAGTCTTGTTTTCGTTGGTGCATCCGTTGGAAGGCAGGATGACGTCGCAGAAATCTTACTCCAGACTGGCATTTCAAAGAACCAGCTGATTGTGAGATCATTTGTGAAAGACAAACAAAGATTGAGAGAGTTGTTTTGTGAAGTCGATCTGGCCATCATGCCATCAAGAACTGAGGGGTTTGGTTTGACAGCATTGGAAGCCATGTCAGCCGGTCTTCCCATTCTGGTAAGTGGAAACTCGGGATTTGGAAAAGCGCTGCGTGGTCTTCCAATGGGTGAGTCATTTGTGATCGACTCTGATGACCCCAAGGAATGGGCCAAGGCAATTGCAGCCATCCGTCAAAAATCAAGGATACAGCGGCTTGAGGAAATCCAAAGACTGCGAGGAAGTTATGATGAAAGTTTTTGTTGGGAGGGACAGTGCCAGGCCCTTGTTGACAGGATGTGGAAGATGGTCTATGGTAAGAAATCAAATTTACCGATAGAAAAGTAACGATAATAATAATAATTAGTACCTGATGATTTTCAAATGCGTATCTTTTCAGTATTATCCTCCATTTGGCCTTCATAATTCATTGCTGTATATCCGTTGCTTCTGCTTTAGCGATTGCAAAAAAAACATTTTTACTATATTATGTTTCGTGGTCCATGTGCATCCCTGCAGAAATATTTTTGTTAAACTTTTATTCTTAATATAGGGATTCACATTCTCCACACTGTTCTTCATACATTCCTTGGGTTACTGATGAGGAGATTTTGTTTAACAATCAAGATATTTTTTTACCGGCTGATCAATTCCATTTTTTAAAACTTTCATGTATAATTTTATAACATATTGGCTACAATTGGAAGAGTGAGCGATAAATTAAAATTTTAACTCTATAAGACTGCGATACATCAAAGTCATCTGATTTCTATTCATATCGAGCAGCAATGGTGGGTTGTCACAAAAAATGAAGGTTGGAATCGTTCATTTTTTTTAAGAGTGACATAGTTTTCTGTAAATCATCAATTTTTTAAACTTTACAGGTCTTGAAAAAAACAGAGAAGATGACGTTCCACAGAACGACTGTGAAAAAGATGCTGCAACAGAAGCGATAGCAGGTAATTCCATTGTTTGCTTTGTCAATTAAACCAGTAGAGTGAGGTTATTTTCTTCTGTTAAACCAGGGTACTTTCGATTTTTCGGGTGCTTTTAGCTTTTCAATGCTTAGTGTAGCATCTCCAAGTAAACTGACGTAAATAATGTTTCCCTCTCCCGCTTACAGGCCAAACCATTTAAATTTATTGCTAATTTTAAACTTTTGCAGGTGTTGAAAAAAACCGAGAAGGTGACGTTCTAAAGAATGACTTTGAGAAAGATGCTGCAACAGGACCGATAGCAGGTGATGTCATTGTTTGCTTTGCCAATTAAACCAAAGCCAAAATATATTTTCGCAGTAGAGTGAAGTTACTAACTTACTAGAATGACTCTGAAGTTTAATGCTTTGAATATTTTCATTTTAATTTTGTATGGAATTTTAGACTTTTATTTTTTAGATTTTCGCATAGCATGGAATTTTTTTATTATTATTATTGTTATTATTAGCTTTTCAGGATTTTTTTGATTGTAACTTATGTTAAGCGCTTTTGAATATTTTATAGTTCTAGCACTATACAAATTCTCTATCATTATCACTATCACTATCTCCTATTAAACTGGCGTGAAATAACCTCTTCATGTATCTTATTTTGTCTTTTCATCTTCCGCTTACAGGCAAACCCATTTTCCTTGCACTTCAACAAACCCTGTTGGAAGCACGCATAGAGTCCAGCAAAACTGAGCTGTCGCATGCTTTAAAGACGACTGCGTTAAAGAAAGGTTTTGTGATTTCTGACAATCAAGGGGAGGGGAACTGCATGTTTTTTGCACTTTCAGAGCAACTTGACCTCATCAAAGGAATTCAAATGTCCCATGATGAGTTACGCCGAACTATTGTTCAGCACCTTCGGGAAAACCCCAGGCTGGTAAGTACCGTATTATTTTTTCTACGGTGGATTTATTTGCAATATATGCGAAAGCCGTCGCATTTTCCCTCTGAAATTTTTTTATTGTTTTTAAGGTTAAAAGCAATAAGGTCTTGTTCTGACGTATCGGAAATACGAGTCCACACGTAGCGTATTTGAATTTTTTGCGCCCGTCCACATAAATACGCCTAAACGATTGAAATACGATAACATCCCTTACATAGCAAACTCAGTGATACTAGCATATAATGTATGAAATCATTGTATTAGAAAACCTCTGTTTTCTTCCGTCCATACGTAAACGAGAATTCGGCGTTTTCAGAAGTCCACTCTGGGGACCGCTTTCTGGGGACATTTTTGTTTTGGGTGCCCGGAAAGGCCGTTTTCACGTGGACGGAAGGCTAAAAATACCCTGATACGTGTGGACGGGGCCTTAAATTCTTGCAGCCAAATGCTACGGCTTTACGGGTATGATGCAAATGAATCCACCCTTTGTGAGCAAAACATCAGCTCTGCACCAACATCACGCTTATTTGTATTTTGCTTCGTCTTCCGCTGCACGACGTGAAACTTCCTAATGCGACGTTTTGTGGAGGGCCTCGAAAGCATGGCGATGAAATATTGTTATTGGATCCGGATGCTGTCCTTAGAATTCAAATCCAGGAAATTTCTTCTACTTTTTTTAATTTGAAAAACGTTACATAAGCGCCATAAAGGTTTAAAATAAAGCAAATTCATTTCCTTTAATCACGTTTTTGACTCGGAGGTGTAAATGAAAACAGATTTTAGGAAATCTCTTTCTGTCTCCTCGATCGTCTGACTCATGTCCTAATTTTTTATCAGTACGTTATTTTGCTAAGTATGAAATGTTCACCAAAAGCGGCTTTGTTCGAACAGCATATGTCTACTTAGTGAAGTGAAGCGAAGTGAATACTTTATTTAAAGAGGGTAAGACTTGACAAGTATCGTATGAACGAATAAACTTGAGATCCTCAATACTTGTTATATTTGTAGGGTCATATCTGACCCAACATACTGGTTTACAAGTCGAAATTTCCAAACTTCTATTTTTTCATAGTAAACACCTCCTCCCCTCTCTCTTACACGTGTAACGGACACCTCCCTAAAACGTCTTAAAGTACTTTCCTAAAAGTGTTGGTCCCTGCCGTTCTTAATTGTTTTTCTTGGAGAGAAAGAGACTAAGGAGAGTAGTATGGGATGCAAACGTTAGACTTCGTTTTTGAAGTAAAATCTCTTTAGTATGAAGTGTAACAAATAAATGTCAATGGCATCTTTATCTCATGAATAAAATGCGGTAGAATCTCATCAACCATAACGTCACGAGCTCTACGAGGGATGTAGTGTGCAGGGATCATGTTCTTATTTGGTTAGTATGCTATCATAGTCTATTTTATTGTCCAGTGCAGACAACCTTTTGGCCTGGTTCCGGTTCACTGCTAAAGTGGACATATCTGCTCTAGTGCCGATACCAGCGGGGTCCGCCTTAGAGAGAGCTGACAGCGCAGCTGCCTGAATATATACCTTCTACAAAAGCACTTTACCTCTTTCTCCATTAACTACAGTATTTTCTTTTTTTCTTACAGCCGGATGGGACAGAACTGTTTCATTTTGTTCATGGATATCCATCTTGGGATGCCTACCTCACAAGCATGTTGGCAGATGGTACATGGGGTGATCACGTGATTCTACACGGCGCGGCAAACTGTTTTCAAACGTGCATCCACGTGATCAGCAGTCTTCCGCATCGCCATGACGTAATGATCTGCCCAGAGTTTGATGTTACTGGTAGCAACCGGCTTGTGCTGGGTCACCTGCACGAGCTTCACTATGTTAGCCTTATTCCACAGAAAGGGGGTAAAGATGTCTGATTATATTGCTATTCAAGAATTGCTAACTCGCGATATCAAATTGAAGACACTTGAGTTGAACAACTGGCTGAACCTTAATTGTGGCAACTTATTTGCAAAGATGCTGGCAAGAAACAAGATTTAGATTTTAAGAACAGTTTTTGCTCCAGGTGTTCCTTGGCTGCAGTCTCTGAAAATATTTAGTGTCAGTTTCCGTACTGAGTAGAATTTGTTCGTATAGGATCAATCCTTTTTCAAGATATTCCTTACCACAGAACTTAGTCAAAGACTTTTCTAATCGAGTTTGTTCTTTAAGAATTGTTCCTGTTTCTGGTACGCTTTTATCAATCTGTAAATACTTTCAGCCATTAGAACTACAGTCAGCCATATTCGAGATCATCTGTTGTTCCACACCTGTGACGTCACGTCACGTGATAGGCAAAATCAAAGCATCAATGGCGGAAGTTCAAGTAAGCGGCAAATTTGACACTTTGAATTTCGTTTTCTGAGCCAAATAGATCGCTGAAGATATATTTCTTGATGGTATTACAAGTAGAAAAACATTTTCAAGGTTTTTCTGAAAAATGTTGTCCTACGCGAGAGTTGCCCTTTAAGGCAAATTTCTGAATGACAGTAACCCTTATCTAGCTTGCGAATACAGAAGCCTCTAATTACGCCTCGTCGCTGGGGAACACCAATTCCTTATCATAGTATGCAAGTATTTTAATATAGTAGAAGTAACTTAGCAGAGTATTGTTTTACCATTGTAACTTAATATATTACCAAGGCCACTGCCTCTATTTTGGCACATCAAGTAATATATATAGATTATGGTAAAATTAGTTAAGTTTTAAAAAAATATGTCGTTCTACGTACTTAGTGAGAGTCTTTTTATAATTTGCTATAGTGTATTAACTTATAAATTAAAACGTACTAGTGTTAGTGCCGGACCGGTTATTTTTTAATTGAAATATGCTTTTTAAAGGAGTTTTGGTTAAAGTTACATATCAACCGATGCATATTATTCATAAATTGACTCATCTCAGGCTGGACAGTTTCAATTAATTCATAGACTATTCCAGAGGACCGCCCTTCTATAGTGGAGGCTGTATTTTTTCAGCCTCAGTATACAGTCTTGGTACAAACAAATTATGTTCCTTAGATTAAAGGAGTACATAGAGTTTGTACCATTAAAAATTTGAGCCAAATGATCTGATGCAATGTGATTTTTCAATTTATACATTAGTGTGGTTAATTGCCTTGTCCTTCGTGTCTCAAGATTATCCCACCCAAGTTCATCCAGTATCTCAACTGATCGCCTATGGTAACTAGAGGAAGTTACCACCCTGGCAGCTCTGTTTTGGAGGGTCTGGAGTCTGTTACGTATCCCTTACCCACAGCTCCCCCACACTATACTACAATAATCGAAATACGGTAGTACAATGGATTTGAACATCGTAATTAATGTATGATAAGGTATGAGATGCCTTACACATCTCAGAACTTCAATCCCTCCAGAAGCGTTCTTAGCAATTTTGTCTACATGATCTCTCCAAGTTAATGATTGATCTATTTCAACGCCATGATATTTATAACCCTGCGATGGACTAGGATCCCGTCCAGGGGGGAGTAGCAATACTCCTAGGCTTGCTTCATGCTAAGCGAACCGGTATAAGCTCCGGCCGTGTGGGCCTTTGGCTCGTGTGCTCCTTTACCTTACCTTTTCCTCACTACCACGGGAGCGGTCTGGCTGCCGGTCAATTCTGACAAATGAACAGTGCACTTTACCCCTTAGTTGAAAACACTACTAATAATACTGTGTGCTACAGACATCTTGATCTCATGCATGCTCCAGTTTCCTAGTGATTTTTGCTAAAATAAAGTTGAATAAAGTACTCTATTCTATTAATTAAGAAGCAAATTAGAAAAACTGTAATCAGTTTGAAACTTTATAACGTGAAAAGATTGACCACTGTAAATATACTAATTTGACATTTTTTGTAAATAAAGATCTCTGTTTCAATTTAATTTATACATTAAATAAGTGTCTAAACAAGTCTAGTTAATCCCTCAATTAGCCATTGAATGGAGGTCCCAGTCACGAATAAGGACCCTACTTCCCTTCATATCACGAATCATGTATCTAACATCCATTATTGCAGAAAATTATCTCCAGGATTACGATCAGTTAGTGTCAGCTCTCGTCCGGTTTCAGTTCATGTTTTTTCTGAGCGTTGACAAGATTGCGGGTAAAGCTTTAAAACAATCTTAGAAACGCATCAGCCCAGCCTGAGAAAATGCGTTCAAGATCATTCTTTGGCATGTTACAACGTGGGTCACTATATGAGTAGATATATTAGCAGCTAAATTCGATTCGGTTTTTTCACGAATACCACGAATCAGGGACCTCAAAATTAAGTGATAGTGCGTCATGCTAGACCGGAAATTCACGGATCACAGCATTTCGAGCTCTCTATATGAAAGACAAACGGACTTAGAGACACAGGACAAGATCGCAAAACCAGCCCAGATCGCTTCAAAAACAAAAAAAAAAAGCCAAACAAACAAACACAGTAGGACACAAACTATAGCACAAGTAAGTAAGTATCGGTAAGTAAGTGAGTAAGTAAGTAAGTGACGAATCGGGTGGATGTAATAGTAAATAAAGCAAAACCGGGTGGGCCTACTAAAGTGTACAGTTGGTAGCAAGAACAGAGAAATTTTCTGCATGCTCTGTGAGTCCTTGGTAATATCGGTCCTATCCGGCGGGCAAGGCGAAACGAAAAGAGACTTCGTAAGAGAAAATGTATTTGAGAACTCCTAAAATTGGGCCTGATCTCAAGTTGTAATCAGCCTTGCTTCTTTTGCTCCACTTTTTAATCGAGGTGCACAGAGGCTAAACACTTTGTCGTGTATGAATTTTTTTCCTTTG